GCCAAGGCGATAGGACCGAGTATAGTAACTCCCTGGGTTGATGGATCATTGGTGCATGCCTCTGATAGCCGGCGCATTTTCGCACGAACTCCTTCGCATCTTTCTTCATGTCGATCCAGTAATAGCCGTTTCTGATGATCTTGCGAACCAACGATTCTACCCCCGAATGGTTTCCAAAGGTGCCTTCGTGAACTTCCCTCAAAACATATTCGGTGTCTCCCAGCCCCAAGCATATGGCGAGTGGGCCATCGAACATTCTTCTGAATAGGGTATTATCTTTAGACAGGCTAAACCTAGCCGCTTTCGTGCACAGAGTTCTCGATTCTTTGGGATCCGAGGGCAGCTTCCCGGTTTTCAGGTAATCTATATACTTATTTATTCGGTCCCAAGTTAAACTTGTCGAGTTTATCTCGGCATGGCCTACTTCCATTACCGATTTCATGAGTTTCACGACGTTACCGAGCTGAATTTATAGCTATTTTTATCCCAGGGCACGTGTTGTAGAGTCCATTCCTTGAATCGATGTAGCGTTACCTGTAGTTTATCCAAGTTATTCGCATTGATTCCTCTTTCACTTCGAATGTCCCACTAACTTGATTTACCACAAGGAGGGAATCGCTTTTAGTTTCGATCACTTCGGCCCCCAAGGAGGTCCCCGAGGTTAGCAACAATTCGTTTTCGACTTCAAGTATTAAGGCCGGCGTGAAGTCGGGCACGAAGTCTGCCAAAATTTGAGATTTGATGGCTATCCGGGGTCGATATTCGATATCGTACCCGCTAATTTCAACGGCCTATTTGGCCAATCATCCCGAGAGCTCGGGTTTGTGAATTATGTTCCTCAATGGGTAAGTAGTTATGACACATATGGGATGACATTGAAAATATGACCCTAACTTCCTGGAGGCGCTTAGGAGAGCGAGCACCAATTTCTCCAGGTGAGGATACCTCGTTTCAGCCTCGTTGGACACCATGAATCTGAGGAACTTCCCGGATCCGACCCCGAATGCGCATTTCTCCGGGTTCAGCTTTATATTGTATTTCTTCAGTATGTTGAAGGTTTCCTGCAAATGTTCCAAATGGTCCTCTGCTTGCAGGAACTTAACTAACATGTTGTCAATGTAAAACACCATTGATTTTCTTATTCGCTCTTCGAACATCTGATTTACTAGGCATTGATAAGTGGAACCGATATTTTTTAGTCCGAATGGCATTACGTTATAACAATAGGTGTCGTATTTAGTGATGAAGGAACTCTTTTCTTGGTCGCCCGGGTCCATCGTGATCTAGATCTACTAGGAATAGGCTTCGAGAAAGATGAGTATCTCGTGCCCGGCCGTCGCATCGATCATGCGATCGATGTTAGGCAAAGGAAAAAGGTCCTTAGGGCATACCTTAGTATTTGTAAACATTCTTAATTTATTTCCCCTTTTAGGCACTACTAATACATTTGCTAACCAATCCGGGTACTTAAATTTTCGAATGGAACATATTTTAAGGAGTTTGGATACCTCGTCTTTGATTAATGCATGCTTGACTTTGGACTAAGGCCTCCTCTTCTGTTTAACCCGGTGGAAATTTGGATCCAAGCTCAGCTTGTGAGTAGTCATTTCTGGCGGGATCCCTATCATATCAAGATGGTACCAAGCGAAACAATCTATGTTTGCTATAAGGAATTCAATGAGTTTTTTTCTAAGCTCAGGAGTTAGCTTCGTGTCCAAGTATACCTTCCGATCGGGCAAGTGCTCACCAGTACGACTTACTCCAACTCCTCAACCGTTGACTTAGTGGCATCAGAATAATCAGGGGCTATGAACGACCTAGGGACTCCGTAATCATCATCCTCGCCTGTCTCCTGCTTCTCTGGTTCAGTCAGGGCCAGTGTCGGTGATTGCTATTTGGTTTCTTTCCTTGTAACCGAACTCAGGTCCTTTGGTGTCGAGACTGCGGATATCGGGATCACCTCATCGATCACGGATAATTTTTTTTGCGGCCGATTATTCTCCATAAACAGTCTTGATCCCTCCCGGTGTGGGGAATTTCAACGCGTGATGTAGTGTCGGGGTAATGCCCTCATGTTGTGCATCCATGGCCTTCCGAATAGAGCATTGTATCTCATATCTCCTTCGATCACGTAGAACTTTGTTTCCTGAATGGTTCCGATGGTGTTCACCGGCAGAGTTATCTCCCCTTTAGTAGTCTCACATGCCATGTTAAATTTGTTTAAAAATTAGACTGTGGGCACTATTTGGTCTTGTAGACCTAGCTGTTTCACGACCCTCTATCAGATGATATTGGCCGAGCTACCTGGATCAATTAACACATGCTTAACTCGAAATTTATTTATGAGTACGGATATTACCAGTGCATCATTATGTGGTTGCACGATGCCTTCAGTGTTCTCATCGTTGAAAGATATGGTTCTCTCTGGTACATAATCTCGAGTCCGTTTTTCCCTTATAATGAGTACCTTAGTGCGCTTTAACATCGGCCCTTGGGCGACGTCAACTCCACCAATGATCATGTTAATAATGTGTTGAGGTTCCTCTTGCTCAATGTGCTTCTTGGAGTCCCTATTCCTGAAGTGGGTTTTGGCTAGATCGCTTAGAAATTCTCGGAGGTGTTCGTTATTAAATAACTGAGCTACTTCTTCTCTTAGTGAGTGCCATGATATTTACACATTAGGCTGGGGTCCCTTTGGGCAGGATCGAATTGCAACGGTCGAGGCCACTTAGTATCTTTGATGCGTCCGATGGCTGATACGATGCCGGCAGCATTGACGGTGAAGTTTACTTCAATAACCTCGGTGCCTCCTTAGACTCGATGGGTTTGTCGAAACCGTTTTTGCTCATTAGTCCTCGGTTATTATGACCTCGATCACTTCTTCTTTCATTCCTCACAGGGTTGCGTCCAGACCCATTACCTCTTCGATCTTCATTGTATGGTTGATACCGACCTCTGTTCGATCTTAGTTCATGATCGACAACTCTTTTGGATCTGTCACTAGTTCTGACGGGATAAACGGATCCCAGAGGGTCCCCAAGCTGATCATCTTCGACCCTAATTTTTGATTGGTACCTGTTATGGATGTCGGCCCAAGTTACCACCGGGTAATATATCAAATTTTGTTTCAACTGTTGTGAAGCCAATGAGCTTTGGGGGTTGAGTCATTGGGTGAATGCCTGAACGGCTCAATCGTCCGCGACCAGAGGCAGATCCATCCGTTGCATTTGAAACCTCGAAACGAATTTTCTGAGTATCTCGTTATCTCTTTGCTTTACATTGAAAAGGTATGACTTCCTGGTCTCAACCTTGATGGCCCCGGCATGCGCTTTGGCAAAGGCATCTGTAAGCATAACAAACGAGTCAATAGAATTAGGGGGAAAGTTGTGATATTATATCATAGCTCCTTTTGACAAGGTATCTCCGAACTTTTTCAGTAGAACGGATTCGATCTCGTCATCTTCCAAATCGTTTCCCTTGATGGCGCATGTGTAGGAGGTCACATGTTCATTTGGATGAGTTGTTCCATTATACTTCAGAATTTCGGGCATACGAAACTTCTTTGGGATCGGCTTTGTATCTGTGCTCGCAAGGAAAGATTTTTGGACAAATTTCTTGGAATCCAGGCCCTTCAGTATCGGTGGTGCTCCTGGGATTTGATCGACCCTGGAGTTATAGGTCTCCACTTTTTTGTCGTTAGCTTCGATTGTCTTTTCTCCCGATTCCACCCGTTTTATCAGTTCCTCAAGCATCTTTATTATCTCGTGGTTGGTCTTGAGTTCTGCTTCACCCGGCCTTTCTGTGGCCGGTCCATTTCTGTGAGCATTTTCCTGGGATGGTTCGGGCTCACCTCTGCTGGGGCGCGACTTTAGTTCTACAACTGGGCTATCACTGCCTGTTGAGCCTGTAACATTTCGAAGATCACCCGCAAGTTGATCACATCACCTTCGCCATCGTGTGTACTCGGGGCTATCGACTGGGCTCCCCCACGAATGTTGTTTTCAGGGTCAGTAGGCAAGTTTGCTTCGATAGCCACGTGTGAGTTAGCACCGACCGGATCCGCGTCTGGGAATCCGTTAGAGTCAACAGGGGGCACCTCGTTGCTGGGCACCACGTTGTTGTTCTCGCCATGGTGGCCGGACTCAGCATCAACGTTAAAATGGGTAGATTGGGAGTTTGACATTTTAAATTTGACCTGAAATTAAAAGCTGAAAGAACAAATGTAAAATAAAGTGTGTTATGGAAATTTGTATCAACTTGCCACTATTATCCTTAGCCCCACGGTGGACGCCAAACTATTTCCCTAAAAAATGGATAACAATTGAATTTATATATGGTTTTAAGGATATGCGGATTAATTCAATACAAATGATAAATAGCGTTAGATTAAACAGTTTAAAGGATGTAATAAATTGTCAAACCAATTAAGGGGAGTGATCTCAGACTCAATAACAACTTAGTGAAATGCCAGCCTTCGATCTCGGGCTCACAATAATGACGAACTGATGAACAAAAGTAAGAACATTGAATATAGAGAAAATAAGAGTATATGAATGTTACAATGTGTCCATGAATAATAATCTTTCCCCTTTATATAGTAGGGGAGTTTTACCCTAAGTGTAATTCTAAAAAAAGTAAATATCTTCTGTTACGCCGATCACTGATACGAGCCGAGATTCGCGCCGTGATATCCGGTTAGGTACGGATATCACGGCCCTTTGTAAGTCGTGTGCAGCTGCTCGATGATGCTCTCCAAAGTCTCAACCCTTAAATCGGATCTCAAGGACATGGCCCCGATATCCCTGAGGGCAGATGTTTGCCCGATCCCTGATACAAGGGGTTCTTTGTTCGGACTCCGATACGTTACGGTCATTTTTCCACTCCGCTCGGCTTACCGGGAAGTCGAGTCATGCGATGGGCTCGGTTTTAGCGATATACAAAAAGTTTATGCTCAGTCATATCAATCGAGAGAACGATGGCCAATGCCTAGCAAAATTAAATTGGGGTCGAACTGCTCCTTTCCTTTCTTCCACAAAACAAACACCAAAATTGCTTAGCCCGGTACATTAATTAAACGTAAAAAACAAAAGTCAACTAATAAATCAAAACTAAGCAAAATCAAAACAAGAAAATCATAGTCCTTTCTTTTTTCACAGCGCCATGTGATCAATCCAACAAAAAAAAAACCTACTATATATATAGATCCTCAAGATTAATCAGTAAGGTGGTGGTGGTTGTCTAGCAGTAGGTGCCCATATCACATCCGATGGCAATTGATTAGAACTGTAAAAAGACTGATCTGGTGGATGTCCACTATCTCCTCCGCCAGACGCCGCCGCCGGTGGCGACTGACCGCCGTCCTCATCCTCCACCGGGAACTTATGATAACAAGGATTATTAAACGTAGCAGCAATCAAATATACAGTCCCTGCCGATAAAAGTGGGCCAATAACAGCCCCACCCACCACTTGACCTTGTGGTCCCGCTAACGAAATACTGAACCCATTAGGAACACTTAAATTTTGTGGAACAATTGTAGCTGAAATGGATAGAATATTAAACGCGCCATGGAACGTAACAGTAGAAGCAGCAGTATTTGAAGGCTGCTTAAGAGTTATATTTGTAACAGTACCGGAACCGTTGAGAACACAAAGACCCATGTTTTGTTTTTCGCAGAAACGAAAAATAGAATCGATTATATCAACCCCAGTTGGAATTTCAAGAATATAAGGGCTCATGGAGGGTTTTTCCACATGATCGTCACGTGTTTTTATGATGAAAGTTGCATATTTAGGTTTATTCTTGGAACCAGGAGGACGGCCACGTGGACGGCGGACAACTTCGATCGTGGCACCGTCGTTCGCGGAGGAGGAAGGTGGTGCTGCTACGGTGGATATTGGCTGAGGTGGCGGTTGGTGGTGGAAATTTTGGGCATGATGAAGCTTAGCAAACATACTGCTAGAAATATAATTAATAGAATGATTTTTGGTTTCTTCTACAAATTCCCCTTTCTTTTTTTTTTAATACGTTTAGCCTTACGGATTTTGAGCTCTCTCTACATCTACCAAGAAATGAGAGAGATGATTGGATGTATCAACTATGTATGGGTAATTGGGTATACAATAACATAACCAAAGATGAAGAAAAAAGCAGATACGGAAATAGATAGAGGAAGATATTTGAGAAAGAAAAGATGTATTGGAGTTTTCCTTCAAAGGGTGAATGAAGATAGAATATTCTTAATAATACTAGAAGAAAAGGGCCGTGGTATCGTTTGGGAGGAGGGGGAAGAGAAGAAGGTGATGAGCTTAGAAACTACTCCTATATATAAGAGAAGATTAATGCGCCGGTTGTAATTGGAGGCACAAAGGATAGGGTAACTGTTTTCCAGAGGATAAATTATATGTAAAACAATATTTACATAATCAAATTACTCCTTCCGGTCCATTTTAATTGATTTTTTTTTAGCTATTTTCATACATATAAAGGAGTCTACTTTAGTATTAATTAATAATAAAATTGACTATATTAACCATAATTTGCTCATTGAAAATATAACAAATACTCCTAGGCTTTTTACTTATGGGCTCTTTACTCCAAAGACAACTTTGAAACAAGAAGTTAATTACTTCTTGATATATGAAAAAACAAATATTATGGACCTCAATAAAAGGTCAAAAAATCAATTAAAGTAGACCGGAGTGAGTGTTTACTAGATCAGTAATTACATGTACCAATTCGTTTGATAAAATTAATAATTTGATAAAAAATTGTAATCATCTTATTATCATAATTTAAAATTCACTGATATATACCATCAATATATATACCTTAATCTTTTCTAGAGAAATATGTGAACAATATGTTTGACCAAAAAGTGTAATTCTTGGCTCAAATAATTAAATGTATATATTAAGGGGTTAAACCTAGTTAACAATAATATTTCTAGATGTGAGTTTCGAAAACATGACTAACGTTGGATAGATCTGGTAGAAATATAATAATGGTGTACAACAATCATTCCAAGTAAAGTGAGCAATAATAGAGCACTAAATAGCAATGAACAATAATAAATGACATTTAAGTAAATAGAAGAAATGATTCACCCAATAAATGAGGAACTAGGTGGTTATTCCTCTTGATAATGACGAATGACAAACAAATCCATGAATGTTCGAATCATCCTCGGATCTGGTGGAAAGTATGGAATAATATAGACAAGAATCTTGGTGAAAAATATGATGTTTGTATCTTAGTAAAAGAGAGAGAATCTTTTGTCAAAGTGTGTTCTTACAAATGAATATCACATGCCTCACATTATTGGCCCATCTTCCTATATATATGAGACATAATTCTAACAAATCCTGACAGTACAAACTGTACAGAATATTCGCTAAAATATTTCCTTTAATATCTTATTTCGAAAACTACCTGTTACAACTTTATCAGTGATGCTCGACCTCGACCATTATCGTCATCTCGACCACGACTCCCGTCGAAACTTTGGTTGCAAGTATTCCTGCTTCCTGGCCTACCTCAGCTAATGACGACTCGAGACTCCCTTCTTTTGGGTAATCTTATTTCGAATATTATTAGGCTGATTTCGACCCATACAGTTAGTCCCTTCACTTATTGAGGCCGGCCTAAGGCGGGCTTGATGAGCGAATTTTATTCATCATGGTCGAGATGATTGGACGAGTGGGTCGGGTCGCAATATTTGAGACGAAATGGCAACGTAGCCTTTCATGAGCCACAATTTTTGGGGTTACGTTGTTCCTGGATCAAAGTGACGTCATGGCGTCATACGTCATTATGGTGCATTTTTTGATGCGTTGCATCATTTTGTGTGCACATGTTGGTTGTATCTGTCTCTTCGATAGTGGTGCTAAGTAAAGATGACCTAATTTCTCGGTTTTAATACCTCAGCTCTTATAAATAGGGATGTGAAGAAACACACTCAAGTTTTACAGATTTCCCATATCGAAACCTTGTGCCTTCTTCTTATTCCATTATTTTGCATCTTTTTTCCCTGCCTGTGCGACCCATGTTGTTTTTAACTCCCCGTTACTTTGAATACCCTCTCTTTCGTTAGAATTATGTCTAACATATCTTCTGGTCCTAGCGAGGAAAGTTACCCGGTTCCCTTAGCAATGGTTTTCCCTCCTCACACAGAGGGCATCTCCGTTGCCGTTGAGTACAAGAACTTCTCCACGGCGGAGGAGATAGTTTCTCGTGGTGGGAAAGTCAGGTCTGATTTTACAAAGGCGCATGGAGCTGAGCTCGAAATCTCCGAGTCAGCGATGAAGGAGGCCAATTTATTAGAGCTTAGGGCTAAATTCGACATTTCTTCTCGCATTGAGTTGGTCTCTACCGGGCGGGATGTGGTACAAGTCTACCACCCCGGGTACTATGCATTCTACGCTTACCCCTTTTATGCTGGCTACACTCTTCCCCTTATTCCACTGGCGGGGGAGTTTTGACATTTTTATGGCGTTTGCCCAGCTCAGCTCACACCATATATCTATAAGCTCATAAGGATGCTTACTAAGTTTGCGGAATTGGCCGGGGTTGAGATCACACTTCAGCATTTGATGCATCTCATGGCCCCTTGTTTCTATAGGGGATGAGGTTAAACCTTCGCCACCGAGCGGGAAAGTGCCTGGTGGTGAAGATGGATGATAAGGCTAACCGTCAGTTCTGACACAATGTTTTCTTCGTTAGAACCGACGACATGGTGGCCAACACAGACGGCTTCCCTGAAACTTGGAATTATACTCGTAAGCGTCTAAACTCTCTTCGTTAAGGCATTTTATTTACTTCGCTTAGTTGTGGGTTCTGATCTCTTGCTCATTTCTTGTTCAGCCAGGACTACGCCCCTTTATTTGGTCGGGGACATTTCTGATTGGGTAGGCCGGCTCCTCCTCATATCGCGGGAATTCATGAGTGGCCGGGTTTTTTCAAGAAGTTTGGGCCTGCTCCTTCTTTAACCGGTGGGTTTCTTTGTTTTGGCCTCTATTTCGCTTACCTTTTGTAGTTTACTCTGGCTGACCCCCTTTTTTTCTTCTTTTGTGCTTCACTTAAATCTAGCCCGAGGGTCTTCGAAGAAGCTGAGAGCTCCCCCACCTGCATTTCGTAAGAGGAAAGCTGCTGCCTCGTCGGCTTCTGCCCCTTCTACTATCGCGGCTAATTCTGCTCGCTCCTCGATCCCACCCGCTGCTTCAGCATCAATTCCTCTGTTAACTGCTGATATTTCGGCAGCAGAACCTTCAGCTTCCCCTTTGTACCGTCTTATGGACGAAGAGGAGGAGTCACTGCCAGGTGACGGAGACCTGATGCCCCACTAGAGGAGATCGGTGGATATTGGCGACGGCGTTGCCTGTGCCGTGGAATTTGTGATGGATGACTTTACTCTTCATAAGACGACGACCATTGTCCTTGAGGATGATGTCGGACTAACGTCTGAGGTTCCAAGATCGACAGAGGCCGACGAAGGTAAGTCTCTCCCCTATGTGATGATGAAGGCCGAAGGGCCGGCCGCCGGAGTTTTTGATCCTTTGCGGAAAGAGGGGCCATTGACTTTGCAGCCAGCCGATGATACTTCTTTGCTGGCCGATGGGAGAGGCAAAGGCAATATCGAAGATAGTTGTGAGACGGTCAAACGTTGATGTCGCTGACCTAAGGATAGTGAATGAATGGTTTACCTAACTCGAGGTGAGGTTGGAAGGGTCTATGAGGACCATTTCTATCCCCATGGATCGCAATCTGTTAAAGAATACGGAGAACGTAATCCCTTCCTTCGGCTATCTTTGCTCCGACGTAGAAGGTCAAACCCTCAGAAAACTGGACGATGTTACTCTGTCTAGGATTATAGCCAGCCTTTCCCTCAGGATGAGTATTTTAGGGTTTTATTTTTCTTACTGTAGTGTTTTTATAGTGTTTTGCCTTTATTAGCGGAGACGTTCTAACATTTGATTTCCTTCTTTTTCTTATGATTGCAGACCATGATCTTGGAGATTGAGAGTGCTCGAAGGGAGGAGAGGTGTAAGAAAATATTTGAGAAGTTGGAGTACAAGTACTTTGAGTACCGCGGCAAGTACTGGGAGATTCGCAGGCATTTTGGCGAGAGTGGTAACTTGCGGGCCCTTCGTGATGAGTTGAAAGAGAAGGATGACGAGTTGGTGAGGGTCATCGAGAGGTGTAGCGTCCTTGAAGTGATGTTGAGAGGTAAGGAGGAAGAGCTTGAAGTCAGCAAAGGGGTCGAAGCCCAGTGCAGCGATCTTCACGCTCAGATGGTTTCGTTGCGTGCCCAGCTTGAGGAGTGTCAATTCAGAGCGGATGCTCTAAGTGGCGAGGTCGCCAAGAAAGCGGAGGGTCTTAAGAAGGAGGAGTTCGCTCGGTTGTAGGCTTTGAAGAAGGTGGAGGCTCTTGAGGTAGTGATCCAGAATCTCCATTCTGAGCGAGAGAATGACTTGGAAACGACAAGGCTTAAAGTAGAACTACTTGATGAGAGGATTAGAGAGTTGGAGAAAGATACCCCCTGGCCTTTACGACCGAGTTGTTGGCGCAACCATCCTCTTCCTATACTTCAGATTTTCCTAATATTCCCCGGGAGTTGTACGAGAAGTGGATTCATGTCGAGGCCCAGTTAGACTTGTTTCGAGATTTGCATGCGGCAGGATCCGTTTCTGATGCCGCCCTCAAAGAAGCTCGTGTTAAAGCTCGCGAAGCTCGATTCGCTTGCGAATATGACCCTGCTACACCAGAGGCTGGCGAGGATGAGGGGGACGATGGTGTAGACCGGCCCGAGCAGAATGCCTGGTATGACGCTGCATATCATGAGGCGAAGGCGGCGATGGCAAGGGTGTTGAAAGTCAAGGGGGAGACATTGTTGAGGACCAAGTCGGCATGGATATTGAGGGTCGTGATAGTGGTGACAAGTAGTTTTCTCTTTTGATTTTTGTATATTTTTGTGTGTAGTTGGTGGTGTCTTCATGAGCCTTTGTAAGAAATATTTCAAGTATGAAATGCCAACTTCGTTATTTGCATTTGATTCTCTTACTGCGGTTCATTTTTGCATTTGTATGTTTCTTAATTATGTCGCTTGGTTGCCTTGATTTTCTTACTGTGAACACCTAATGGCTAATAGTGGCCAGGGGTTGGTGGGCGTTTGTTCGAACAAGGTTTTAATTATGGACGAGGGCTGGTAGGTGTTAGTTCGAACAAGGTCGAACATAACCTAAGTTTAACTATGGCCGAGGGCCAGTAGGTTTCAGTTCGAACAAGGTTGAACATAACCTAAATTTAATTATGGC